GGGATGGGGCCGACCAGATGCGGCAAGGGCGCCCGCCTGAGCCCCCGTTGCGTTACAATACAAAACTATCCATCCATTTTCTAACTGCTTCACCCAGTTCAGAGTTGTGGGTCGTCGTTACCGGCGCAAGGCAGGGCACAACCTGGCCAGGACGCCAGTCCATCACTGGGCACACACAGACACAAACACACACCCAGAGACACAGACACAGAAACACACACAGACAGAGCCACCAACACAGCCAAAGTCAGAGACACACCCACAGACACAGACACACAAGGACCGATGTTCCCAGAAGCCAGTTACCCTAACAGTATGTCTATGGACTTTAGGAGGAGATCAGATCATCCAGCAACAAACGCTTCACACATGGGGAGACCCTATAAACTCCACACAGTACACACCCCGTTCCTAAATTGAGCCCAGGGCCACAGAGCCTCCCAACACAAAACTAAATGTTACACAACATACTGTACAACATTAAATGTTATGTGCTTTACAAAATAAGGCGTCTCAGAAGCCCACGAACTACCAACCAAGAAAACCCAGAATGCTAACAATGTAACCTGAAACACTACAACCTACAAAGGCCAACAAGAGACATACTGTAAATCTTGTGATCTAAATTAAAGAATACAACCCCAAGCTAAATCTCTCTTTCTATAACTTGGACGACCAAAAGACATTTCAATAGGAATTTATTTTTATGGCGTCCAGATGTCGCATGATGTAAATCTGGATCATGACTCACTTTTGTGCTAAAGCAGCCAGTGACAACAAAAGTTGAAGCAATACAATCAAAACAGGCTAGCTCCCAGAACATTTATTCCAACACCTTGATGATATGGGTTGCAACAGGTTGAAGCTAGTTTTGTGTTACTTAAGCTTTGTTTAAGAGGTATGGTAAGGGTTATAGTTATTTGCATGCTGTTTTTAGTTTTGTGTTGTGGGTGTGCATATGGCCTTTGTTATTTGATTTAATGCAATGGAAAAATGAATCGTAGCAATCTGCTGTATGTGATGTCATCACAGGTATTTCACCTGTGACACAAATTGCACCCAGCTTTGTTATTAACAGCCATGTCCCATGAAAGTATAAAAATGATTCACTGGAGGAATAGCAATTGATCGCCTGTTTCTACCTTTTTTCTCATGTTAGCAAGTTTCCTGTGACACAAACAGCGTACTAACTGGGGTTGATCCCATGGTTAGTGGTTAGTACACAGCTCCATACTACACTTGTAGGCTAGGTCAATTCCAATTGCACTGAACATCACTGCTGAAAATAAACCCCAGCTCCACACTGAAATATCCTCAACACCAACAAACACAAAGTAACAACAGCTACCCTCTAGAGGATACTGAAGTATGAGACTGAGTACTTGCTATAGAGTAGGTAATTTAGATTATGTAATTTCTTGCATTAGGAATTTGTCTCTCCTTTTGGAGAGGCTTTACGTAACTGGTTCCATTCTTCACCCCTCTGCTTTCTTAGTACCACCATCTACAGTCTCCTCTGTGTATTGTAATTGTGTTTTATCTTGTGTATTGTTTTTTATTGTTGTTGTCATTCTGTAAAGTGCTTTGAGAAGCCACCTTTAAAGGCGCTATATAAAATAAAGTTTATTACTATTATTGACTGAGAGTATTTGCAATGGAAATAAACAGCCAGTCTTTAGAGTCCAGTTTGGAGTGAATGATAGTCTATGGTTATGGAGAAGGTTAGTCTTAATTCTGAGCTAGCGTTAGGTTTTGATTAGGATGTACTGCATATAGAGGCTACATTTTGTGTTAGGTTTGTCAGTACGATCGTTAGGTGTACTGCTCGTGTTTTGTGTTTTGGGTTAGGGTTGGAATAATGCGAATACTTTAGAATTGAATTGAAAGTTAAGTTTAGGTAATGGTTGTTATGTTAATATCTAATAATATTTAAGTAAATGTTTTAGGTTGAAACTGAGTCATGGATTGATCGTCTGGGGAGTAGTCTTGTTTTGATCAAAGATTTGTTTTAACGGGTTTTGAGTGTATATTTAAATGTAGCTGAATTTGAGGTTGTAGATAATAATGGCTTACTGTTTAGTATTACAGTATGTATTATCATTGTTCCAACAGTACACAAGCACTATTTGAAGGATTGCAATATTATTTTACCAGGCTAATAACTGAAGGTCTATGTTTTGTTTTCCATATATAAAGAATAGACAATCAAAAAGGTAGTTACAAGACACATGGAATTAAGTAATGAACTCTTGGGTAACCTAAAGGAAGAGAACATTCTCGTCTCCACTTGAGAAGGACTGAGAACGAGAACGAGAAGGACTTTATCTCAAGCTTGTTTATGCTGATTCTTTGGTAAATTATACCGAAGATAATGTTGGACTGGCTTATTAGTTTTGTGATGTGTTATAAATGTTACATGTTGTTATGTGTTATACTGTACATGTGGAATAGAATGATGTACAACGTTTTTCTTATTTTTTGTAATAGTATAATGTGCAATGTTTTTCTTCTCTTCTTTATCAGGGGACAATTAAATGTTATATATTACCTCCCACAAGTCATAGGAATGTGTACTGACAGTGACGAGTGTACTTATTAAAATACAACAAATACTACTGGTACCAATATTTAATTGTTGTGTTTAAATGCTTTTCAGTATATGTGCCACAACTCTGGCAAACCATGAGATAGACATATTGATCAATAAAACTCTGATGATATCATACTGTGTGAACGTCAAGCAGTAAAGCAATACTGCATTTAATGGAAAAACAAAGCTCTTGGTCCAGAAAGACATGAATATACGGTGTTGACTCCCTTTTGAACATCTTGTCAAAATTTACAATAAAGCTGCGGTCAATGCTATTTTAGGTTGGTCATTTTAGTCTGCAGAATATTTGAAACACTTTGGTAATGGCCAATAAAGATGGCAGTAAGAAGAACTCAGCCAAATATTGTTAATTTAGTCATTACATAGACATGAGCTGTACTTCTATTGCTTATTAAAAAGCTTAAATCTTCGGTCTTTTATTTTTTTATTTTCAACTACAACAGTAATGACCACAATAAATTCGTTTTCTCACCACTAGAGGGGGATAGAGCAACATGCATATCTTGCAATGCTCTGGAAAGAGCCATACATCTTGTCCAATGACAGAAATTCCGGACATGGTCAACATACAATTGGGTGCAGAATATATGTTGTGTTGCTTAAAATGGCATTTTTTTCCAATAAGAATACAGACATGCTAGCACTTTACAATATTTCTTTTATGTTAAAGAACAATTATAAATAGAAAGGACAATTAAATTAAACAGAAAAATCCAGTATAATGTGTAATGATTTGCATTTTTATAGTAATGCAAGCAATGGTCATAAAATTGGTATTTAGCAGCGTTTCACTTCATTTCCCCATTAAAAAGTAACAGTTACAGTATAGTGTTTTTGTATATAGTGCGAATGGATATTTCTCCTTTCGCCTCGGAATGTACAAAGTCTATCTAAAAAAAAATTCAGAAAAAGATTGAATTCAAGCTAATGCTATGATAATTAATAATAAGAACAAAATGTGTGGTGCAATAATATGACTCATCTGTAGTTCAGTTTTAAAAATGTTTTGCTGCTGATATTGAACTAAAATGTATTCAAAAATACTCCCGATGAAGTGTGATACATGTGTTCATTGGATGTTAAGTCATTTAATCATCACAAGTCCACTCAAAAATATTTGATGCATATTTTTTAGTGATAACACTGAACAAACACATTATCTGTGTGCGAAATCACGTGAATAAATACATTTAAAGTGAAACATAGTGTTTCTGGGTTAATATTCCACACTTCTATTACACTAATGAGTCTGTTACCAAATTTTGTGCACTTGACTTGGAATGACCATGCATCAGGAGGAAGTTTAAAAGCTCTTGTCTGCTTGATTGCATCAGCAGTATGAATAATATACTGTATGGGTGATACTGTGGGCTGTGGTGATACACAGCACATTAAAAAGTTAAATTATGCAAATAGCTGGAAACAGCCATGTAAATTGTTGTTTTAACAAAGAGATCAAGAATGTGTTGTTAATAATCTAAATTTATTTTAATGTGAATTATGCAAGGATTTACAGAAACAAAAAAAATATTTGCCTTTTCATGTCTGGATTTTAGCTAATATTTCAGATATATTAGCTGTACCAACACATTTATTATATATTCTGTATTTTTGTAGTACTTTTGCATTTTGTAGTACTTTTGTAGTACAGTAGGTGGATATTTCTGCAGTATCCTTTGACACCCACAGCATCCATTTTGATACACTACATTAAGCAAGTATTCCATGTTGTACTTAAAAACAAAACAACAATAATAAAAGCAAATAAAAAATGTTAGTGTT